ATATATATGTATGACAAAAAAAATCTATTTAAAAAGAATTGTTGCAAATCCCGTGCAGGTGGTGCAGCCATGTGTGTGTGTATACTTTATCTTCAAGTCTTAAGATGGCAGACTGCATGTAGGTGTAGCTGTTTGAGAAGAAGTACAGAAGTGTATCCAGATGTGTGCTAATATGCGTGCAGAGGCCGAACAGTGACTGTCTCTAATCACAGAACAAACCGCACGCACACAAACCAATACATGAAAGCACCGTCACTAAAATCACCCCAAACTCTACCTCACAGGCAGACCACGTTTTGGCTTGTATTTTGTCAAGGACCMCCCCCCCCCCCCTCCAACGTGCCCGGTGGCTCCAGATAGCCATCTCCTACCCCTCACTGGGTTCCTGCTCAAGCTGTACAAGTTCAAATCTATATAACTGCCCCCAAGAGAAACTGTTTGATAATGGACTTTAGGAGGCTCTTTATGCTTCAGCTGAAACAGATTTAACCATACTTAATGTCAGGTTCGCCTATATAGCCAGTGGGCACAATCGCATTAGCAAGCTCTGAGTTTAACGTGTTCGGCTGTGGTGGCATGCAAGGAACCTGAGTTGGGTGTTTGTACGAAGAAGATGATTTAAAACTCAAACTGTACTGTTTTATTCAAGCTAGTGCATAAACTGTATGTAGACAACCATGTGAGATGAAAAATCTATAATTGTAAAGGGTTAAATTGTCAAGTAGAGACTGTGCTGGCCACAGCTAACCAAAAGGTTAGGTTCACTAACCAATAATTCATACAACAAGAATCTTAGCTTTGCTAATACTAAACCAATAAACAGATAAAAAAATAACTAAAAAATGCATTTGGTCAAAGCTAAAGCTAACCGCTAAGACATCAGCATGTCACACGTCTTCATCTTCTTCCAGTTGAAGACTGGTGGGACTGATGCCTGTTGTTAGTTTTCTATTGGTTTAATTTGAAGGTGGGTGGGATCATCTAGAGCAAATTGACCAATCCGAACCAGAGTTATAGCACTGTCTAATTTATGATGCTTCCAGCTTACCCTTTCAGTATAAACGCATTTCTAGATCAAGTTTAAAGTTAGTCAAACAGCAAATAACAAATATTTTCTGTACCATATTTTATACATAGTAAATTTTTGTAGCGGTTATTTAAATATTGTTTTATGTCATTTTATTTCTTTTTGATGCTCTTAATTTGAAGTTCAATCAGCTGCTAAAAATGCTACATGCTACACACAATGTGCCTGACATGTCCAGCACTGCTTGTGAGAGGGGTTAGTTTTTATTCAACTCAGGATAAAGGGTATAAAAATAGAAGGTTTACACTTGTGTATTTTTCTAATGGATTTAAAATTGGCAGAATTATTTAGCAGAAGTCAATGGGTCCACTAACCATTGATTTTTCTAAGTAAGGCACCATCAAGTAGTCACAATATTCACATAGGGGCCAAGTATTTATTCACCATTCTTGCACATAAATCCCCAGTTTTGGAAAGGTGTATGCATTTAACCAGTCACACATGTTCACTTTTAATGTAACATAGTTAAAAAAGCATGCACAGGAAATTTTCCCCAATTTTACATACATATTTTACTATATGTAGATAAATACACAATCCAGCCATCATTTGTCAGTTGAAAGACTTTTTCTGCAGGATTGTTCAAACCTTTTAAAGAAGAGAATAAGACCTGTCAGTTTGATTCATGCTGGACTTTCTTGTTCGACTCAGTGCCCCTAGTGTTTGGATGTGGAACTGCATCCACCATGATCGCTCTCAGGCAAAGAACAGATAAGTGATGACAGAGGCACTTCAGAGGGGCCAGTCAGATTTCAGCTGGGGCCAGTTCCCCATTGGCCCTGGCCCTGCCACTAATGGTTTCCAAAGTTAACAAAAAAGCTAATTTGCTAAATGAAAAGCTGGTGAATTATTAGCAGCTATTAACCAATTAGCGGAACTTTGCCCACTACTGAGTAGAAAGATTAATTGTTCGTAATTCTTTTACAGAACCCCACTTCAGAAAAATCTGACATAACACTTAAACATAATTGTGAAGCATACAGTCAGATCAGCTGTCTGTCACTCGTGGTCAGCCAAAAAACGTTGATGAAAACAGAGAAAAAAATAATTAAATATGTTGTAATTGCAGATGCTYATCATGTCACAGCTGTCAAAACATAACATTTTCACATAAGAATGACTTAAGCGTGCAGCATCTGTGCTGACATTCCACCTGCCACACAAGAATAGAGGAGCCAGTCATTTTCTCTTGTCATCTCATTTTGACGTTTAAATGCAGACAAATGGCCTTCACTCTGGCTCCTGTCCATCACTGCTAATAGGAGAGTATAGTAAGTATAATAATATTATATTTGTTTTTTTCCTTGTGCATCCAATCAGTCTGATTTACAAAGTTTTATGTCTTTGAGTGATTTTTATATTCTGCAGCACCTAATGTGTCCCTTCTTCATGTGGCCTTGTGCAGGAACCGTGATAGAAATGGAAATTTTTCTCTTTACATTTTAAAGTCTCATTGTAGACAACAAATCCATAATGAGTTAAAACAGTGAAAACGAGCTGATTTTCATCATTAAAAAAATAATAAACCAAAACCAAAAAATAAAAGAGCAAACACAAGCAAAACGATAGACAAGCTCTGCATTTAGCGTTGATCTATCTCTTTTATCACCTCATTTCTTCCACCTTTTCTGTGAATGACATATGCTGAGTCTCTCGGAGAAACTAGCAGGAGGTCGCAGCGACCCACCTAGCAGTTTCAAGCTCTGGCTGCTGATGTTGGACCTGGCAGGTTGCAGCAACCTCCTGGGTCACATCAAGTGCTCCGCAGGCTCTGCAAAACGTGCATCTGAACCTACAAGGAGGTTTCACAACAGGCCAGCTGGGAAGGATTTGGAATCCACGAGGAAGCTGAGGGGGCTAAATGGGGTTGGTGGGCCAGAGAAGCTGAGGAGAAAGAAAACAGTACAGTTCAGAAGAGTGTTTTGTCAATGTGAGAGAAAGAGATGCTGAACACAGATATGCTCTTTATGTTACTGTCATTCTGCTTAATGCCAGTTTATGGCATTGACTCTTTTATTTACTACAAATAATGCTAACAATAGTTGGAAAATTATTATATTGTGTTTTTTAAAGGTGTTGCAATGGAAATAAATAAACCTTTGGCTTAGTGTTCCTTGAGGAATGCACATCACTATACAGCCTTTGCAACAATTTTGTCAAAATCATCTTTTATTGAAATATGGCAGTTGTATCCAACTTGGATAAAACCTTGAAAATATTATTTGGTGTTGTCTAATGTTGTGAGATATAACACTCATGAATGTGAGCTGTGACTGACTCACGGCTATTAGGCTACCCAAATTAAACTCAATATCTGTAAAACTGACTCAGTTATTGACATTTTTGTGTTAATTAATGGGAATTATTCAAGATAAGATAAGATAAGATAAGATAAGATAAGATAAGATAAGATAAGATAAGATAAAACTTTACTGATCCCACAGTGGGAAAATGTGCACATTACTGCAGCTCAGGAGAGGGTGAGAAGAATATAAAAAAACAGAAAAAAAAACACTGTATGCTACACATGTGATATATAATAATGTACATATACCAATGCACATATACTGTACACATATACATAAACACATGTGCATATACTGTACATTTATATACATATATACCGTACTTGTCAGATATCTTAAATTTGATTGACTCCAGCATATTATCAGTCAATGATGTCTATAATGAAAACCTTCTGAAATAAGGTAAATTCAATAAATCCCTTCCAGTGGTTCATGAAATATTTTGCTAATAGGGTTGACACACACACACACACACACACACACACACGCTGGAAATCCACAAGCATGGACCAAAGTCACACATCAGGATGGAATGAAGATGAGTCAAAGTGACATAAAACAAACACTGCAGCCCAACTTTTATAAAGATCTGCAGAGAAACAAATATATGAAAGAGGACCAGGACAACTGAAGAAAATACAGTGAAATTCTGACTTTAGTGCAGAATTCTAACTTTTTTTTCCCTCAAATTAGGAAAAAGTCAGATTTCTGAGTTTGAGGAAAAAAGCTGTAATTCTGAGCAACAGACCCCAATGTGTCAGGATGGAGGATCAAACATCTTTGAGCATCATTTTAAACACAGGTACACCGCAGGGA